ATCAAAGTCGCAGCAAGCCAACCTTGGTACTCACGCGCCACACCACTAATGCTTCCTGCCAACAAAGCCAAAATGGACGCTCCAGCAAAGCATGTGGAGAGGCAAAGGATGATTGCCAAATCCAAATTGAAATGGTGACACATTGACAGTATCTTCTTCCACCTTGGACACGACCAGGAATGACTGATGAACATGTCCAGTGGTGAAGCATTCGTAGAAACAGCATTTGTTGAAAAAAGACCCTGCGACGCACTGTCAACAAGGCAGGTGATACTCAGCAGTACTTGCCGAGCAGTTCCAGATTTGAAAAGTCCCTTCTGGCGAGCGAAGGCCGCTTGCTCCCGAATGATGTGCATGGCACTGAAAACTTCACTTGAGGCCACATGCACAATGTGTAACAAGCACAGATGTTAGGAACACTTGAAGCCACTTCACCAATTGTGTTCCTACATGTTCGGCCACATTTGCCCAGATAGGATTTCACGTTTTGCTGGTCTTTGGGGAGTGATCTGGCGCGGAAAGCGTCAGAACATGTGTGCAGCATAAATGGAAGATAAATGTAAACAGTGGTCCATAAGAAGTTCTAGTCAACTTATGACGGTCTAGTTCCTCATGAATATACTGAAGGAATCTATTCTGCATAAAAGTCAATCCAATGCCGTCATCATCTGAGATGAACTTGCAAAGCTTGGGCTCAACGAGTGTCCGGTCAAATCCCAAGTGGCTTGCATTTACATCAGTAGCTTGTTTGATGTTCTTGAGCCATTCACATAAGGCACACGACAGGTTTGAATACCCTGTGCAGTTTCAGCACCCAATACAAAGTCTGCGGGAAATGTGCCAAGAGTTTGGTTGGAGAGGAAATGTATTCTTCGCATCTTGACATGCTGACCTGCCCATCAAAAACAAAGGGGAACGAAACGCCGTTGAGACCAGTGGGGAATTAATTTGTGAGCTCATCGGCCTTCCCTTCTATCGGTATGGCTGCCATGTCAAGTTCAAGCCTGGCACATGTAACACCCTGAAGGCAACAACATTTGCTCTACAACCGAAGACTATCCAAACCACAAGAGATTTCAAGAATTGCATGTATAACTGATTGTGTTCACGGAGATACTCAACTAAGTCATGTTCAATCAAGCGGCCTGGCTGTTCAACTGGATGTCCAGCAATCCTCCAGTCACAGTGGAAGATCAGCAAAAAAGAATTGAGACATATTGAGACAAAGCACTACTTTGAACTTGCTTGATAAGGGCATCTATTGCACGATTAATGATGTGAAATGACCCCGCAAAAACGTTGGATGCCTCTTTTGACACAAACCTGAAAGCCATGAAGCAAATTTAACTTATAGATCTTCGTCTGGATGGGCCATCGACTCTGCATGTATTACCGGGTACAACTGTTAATTTTATAATGGTGCCATTGTCTAAGCTACGAACTGGAGGGTATTTGTGAACACCCACCTGGACCCAAATGGGAGCGGCAAAACCGATGCCTGTGGAATTGGCATCTGCAATCACGTCGCGCCACAGGAATTGGCTTCCCTGGCGCCGTCTCGCCGTCGTGCGAACCGCTCAGCTGCTGAGCGGCTTGAGGAAGGGATTGAGCATGGGTTGAGCATGGAACATAATAGTTCTGATGTCCAACTTCAGAATATGCATTGTCTTGAACAAACATAGAATTGGGTAGAACAAGGTTTTATTGTTGAGGAAAACACACTGGACCTTGAAGGTACAACTCTTCACCAAAGTTTGGCAACATCTAAACATGCAATACCGATTTAAGGTATTCTAAAATACCGTTTCTTTCCAAAATTGACATTGTTTTTCAATTACATACTTGCAAGGGGGGTCATGTGTTGTGAATATTGTGTTTATATACATCTGCTGTTCTTATCTGTGTATTGCACAACATTTGCGGCATTAGTTCCATGCATATATACATCATCTGCCATGCTCAATTGATTTATCCCACTTGAAAAAAACTTGATTCTTAAAACAACATGTGGTCCCTTCCTCCTCTCCCCAGTCTTCCTTAAGAACAACAAACCTCCCGGTGTCGGGGGGCGTGCGAAAATCGCACGCCAGATCGGCCAGATGACCATAGAAATCCAAACAAGTACATTTGACCGACTGTTACGTAGCAGGACATTCCTAGACTTGGGTCACCTAGCCTGACCTTTTCTTTATACAAATGGAGCTGACTCCGGTATCTATATCATTGGAGCTGTCCGAAAAAGCATGTTCCATGTTCGCCCCTATATCTAAGAGCGCTGGGTTTCGATCGCATGCTTCGCAATGCCCGGATGACAGCGATCACCCCCACCCTTCTCCCCACCTTGGGATTGTTCTGCACCAAGGGCTCCTTGTATCTCATATGTGAAAAACCTCAGTCCACAAGACGCGTCCGTCTGTGTTTGGCCAAAGAAGCGCGTCTTCGTCTGGCGCCCAAACAAAACAAGTTGGGCGCGTCTTCGTCCGAGGGGTTTTCTTGGATGTTTTTGTTCGTGGATGAATGAAAGGAGCAAATCTCATTGAGTTCCAGTCAAATCATCGAGCTCCAGCTATACCATGCCAGTCTCTTGTCCTTGCAGTTATTGCTTCGATGGAAAGGGGTTTCGGCAAGGTTTGACTTCCGGTTCCGCACGGGGAGCGGCATGAAGGATGGCACATGCGCGGCGGCGCGGATTGATCACCATGCAACGAAGATCAAACACTTGTTTGTGCACCCTGGAGTCTCAGTTCGTACCTCGGAAAATGGGTACGACATGGTACAAGTACTTGTTCTTATAGGGTCATGTTCCATTTTCCAAGGATTGTTGAAGAGACCTTGTGATACTGATCAACAAGCACCAGTTTTTTCTTTAGT